ATGATCAATTTAGCATCGCTCGACGGTTGTCCAAAAATTATACTCTCACCGAATTATATATTCGGATTTGAACTATATTTTTGCATGTGTGAGCTAATGAGAGTTGTTAACTGTTTAAAAGTGACTATAAAACAAAACGGTGATTGAGGCTTGTCGTTAGTACTCGCCAATGATTCCACATAACATCGAACTCATTACCTATGAATCTTAAGATTAATCACTGAATTAAAAATTAATAAACCACATTGTCAATCTCATTCATTTCTCTAATTCTGTAAATTCATTCAATTTATCATTCCCATAAGCTACAATCTATTCAACTAAATCAATATTTCTGAAAAAGTACATTCATTACATCCGAAAACGAATACTTTCTTACTGTAGAATATTTTTGTAATAAACTGAACAGGTTGAAAAGCTAACATCGAATTCTATTCATAGAATCATTTCAGGGCTATATATAATCGTTTGTTTATTACACATAAAAATTAACCAGTGTAGTATGTAATTTAACAAGTACATAATGTTACTATTTATTACTACATTTTGTTTGTGACCTTGTATATCAATTTGTTTATATGTAGGATACCTTTTTTGGTGTGTCGTTGTGATTACTATTGAAATCTACACAAGTAACAACACAGTTTTTTTAAACGGGAGATGTACATTATAATAAGCAAATGATTTACATATATAGATGTGCATTGATAATATTCGAGTGAATTAGTGTATTAAACAGATTTCTACAGATACAACACAAATCACTAATTAATACGATTATTTATTTCTCATCTGTACGTTGTCTTGCTGAGTGACAGATGTATCTGATGAAAACAGTTAGCTTGACAATAGAAAAAATTAATAGACAGTAGGAATAGAATCTTTACATCTGTTCATGAGATTTACACACAGGAAAATATTAATGATTATCCCAAGATTTCATATTTGGCGTTAGATCTGAAAGTCTTAGATGTTAAATGTACTTGTACTCATGCGTTTAGTTTTTTGTTGCTAAATGTCAGTTCCTTTCTACAAAAGATAACATGGATAACATTTTTCTAACTCATATTACCTTAATGACCATTCGATTATCTAACTGGCTGTTGTAATTTTTAGTTTGCTTATTTTATGGATGTTAATTATATGAACAGAGTTGCTCCATTTCAGTTCTTATGTTCATAATATAAGGCTATTCTGAAAGTCTCGTATTCTCTTTCTGTTCAAGGTTTAAAAGAGGAAGGTTTCTATAGGCTAGAATGTAGGAATCTATGTTTAAGTTCAGAAATGATCAATATTCTAATTATATAAGATATCGTAAATTATTGAAAATAATGGAGAAAATTATATGATTTCGAGTGAAAATTATTCTTCCTACTGAATGAACGGAAACACGACAGAAAATGCTGAATGTAACATTATTTGAACATTGAAATCATGATGGATAATCTCAATCTAGCAAAATAGTATATATAATGTTGTATCGTGAAAACTGATTATCTCTAAAATCACTTATTATCAAGATCATATATATATGGTGTTTGCTACTAATGTTGACGGATATAAATAGTATGTAACACTAATCCGAAGTGAAATACCTGGCAGTAGGAAACTAAGAAGACTGAATTAAAGAGAACAGGGATGTAAACAGGGAGTAGTTGTAATGACAACAGAAGTAAAAAAATCATGAAGCATGTAAAGGACAACTAATGGAGATGTGCAAATTATGCATTTATTATTTTTATTATTAGCTTTATTCATTATCATATTTTAGATGCAATATGTAATTCTCAGCATAAAGTATTTCAACAAGTTTCCGTTTCTTACTTCTTGGTCGATTCTAACCATAAATATTAAGTGACCGCCGGTTAGAAGTTAGCAGTCCAGTAAATCGACATCTAAATAATGTACATTCTTTTCTCTGCATATTGTCAGCAACCACGATATCTCTGATTGGGCCTTTTATAACTTGTACAACGAAAGGTTGTACACTTTTCAGAAGCGCACCTGAATAGGTTATGCTATTAATAGCCATAATGATGAATTAAAACAAACAAAATAACTTGTTTAAATATCTAGATGGCAGGAACAGGTAGCCCAGATGTTCAAGCAGGCCGCCATGTGTATGGATTTCATACATATGTATACATCTGTGATGTAAACTATGCAATTCGACTTTCTACACAAATTTCTTTACTAATAAAGTCTTATATCTATCAGAATATTATTACCACAAGTTGTGGTCAGACAATGAGATAAATGAGTTTCCAATGAATAGTAACAGGAACGGGCAGAGTATTTATGAAACTTAGGGAAATATGTAATCACTAAGGGTAAATAATACGAATAACTAAAATGTTAAATTAAATGATGAGTAGTCCGGATAATTTTTTAATAAAGTTACTTTCAGTTTATGAGTAAAATAATTCGTAGGTTACACTTGTCACAGGTTGGCCCCAGTTGGAGCACCACTAAAAATCAAGGAACGCTGGGTAGCTGTTTCTCTCTAGCTCGGGGCTCCTTACTAGCACCAACCCATAATCCTGTTGGGGGGTCCAATTCGGAACCTCCATGTCTCGTGGTTGACGCTTAATTGGGTCATCGTCCAATGACGTAATTTCAATCAATACAGGATAAAACAATTAAAAAAACAATTCCTAATATTGACTAACCCATGTCACTATGTAAACTAACGAACTATGAGTAAAGTGAGTTTAACGCAACACTTTTTTCTAATGTCAATCAGTAAATCGTGTGTAACGTAGAATTACCATTGATGTGTATCAGTATACGTTACCACATCACAGAACAGAAGGATGAAATTACCAAGTAAAATCAAGACACGGCAGTAAAAGTGGCGATATTATCATTACTTGAAGGGGAAATGATTAAATATAGACAGAATAAAAAGTATATGGAGATTTCGGAACTTATTTTCTAAAGTAAGATAAAGAATGAATGCATCTGTTTGATTGTGGCCGATTCTAAGCTATGTCGAATAGTGTCTCCAACTACTGGTTGAGATAGTCGACTGAAACCTCAACCTTTCATTTAAGATTTTAATTTCATGTGGCTAGAGTTATCTGAAACTATCTGATATTAACATGTAGCGCGTCACCCCGTGTGAAAAACACAAATACAATAAATGTTAGAGCCTGAAATCTTTAGTGGAAGTTACACTCTAATATGGAGCCTTCGCCTAGTTAATGAAAGGGGAATCGATCAAAAGTAATGGGGATGTCATACTTGAATACGTTGTGGATAACTTCAGCCGCTATAGCTTATAAAACCAATCAAGTTAGTAATCATAACAGAATAAATGGCTGTCAATAAAATGAATGATAAATCAAGGTGACATTTAACGGAACTTAAAATATCTAGACTACTGAATTTTATTTCACTCAGTGAATGGTGAAGCAAAAGACACTGTTAAGGAGAGGAAACTAGAATGAGTAAAAGCATATTATAGGGAAGGGTCAGTAAAAATCAAAGAAACGTATTTCGACTTGTTGTGCGACATTAGAAATTGGATAACTTTTATCTCTCTTTCCATAAAGTGATTGATAGAAATATCTTTGCATAGTGCTCAGAATGTTTAGGATGAGAACGAAGATTTATTTTTTGTCATCACTCAGTATAAACAACAGTATTAAACATATCGGAAGCCTAATTTGTTCTACGTAGACTGTATAGAACATTAAAATAGACACTATCGATAAATCTTAGTCTTTCATTGTGAACTAAATCTGAAACGTTGTGGGATTACACTTTATGAACAAATTAATCAAACCTAAGATCGTACATTTTAGGTTTCTGTGAGAAACTTTTTCATCCATAAGGGCTAGGAAATTTTCTACATGATAAGTGATATAAGTTCATGATGAAAATCTTAACTGTAGACACTTAATCCAAACTTCTATTACAGAATGAAAAGGTAAAATTATGCTTTTAGCTCATTGTGATTCTCACTCAACATTACTTCCTTTTGTAATCCAATATGTCGGTCACTCAGTGCAATATTTGTTTTATTTTCAGTGTAATATTTTTTTCAATGTAACATTGATTTATTTCAGTGTGATCTTTATTCAATATTGCAAAGGCGGAATGAAATTCTTTCAGTATGATATGTAGCTTGGGTTTTGTAGTAATGCTGTCTGTTTCCCCCTACGCATGATAGTTGTTGACTAATCATCAAATGTGAATAAAATCAATATATAAATGAGTATGTTCCCGATCATTTGATTTATCCGGGAGTTAAATAAAAATGTAACACCAGTCTTTGTTTGGTTTTCATTACGCAACGTTTGATTCGAAGTCTCACTCTCAAAAACAAGCCAGTTAAAATAACTGCGGAGAAAACAAAAGAAATTCAATGACACTAACTCTAAATCCTTAATCCTAATTACAAAAGCTCTATAGCCGAATAGATGAAAATTTATGTCACTTTCTTTTCGAATACCAAGCAAAACAACTGGCAGAATACGTCAAAAGTTTGAATAATCATGCGAAATTTGTTGATGTTTCGTAATAATACTATTGTTATTTCCACCAACAATTTATTTAACAGGACTGTTTTCTAAATCGCTAATAACCTGCTTAAACCAACCGACGTTATTTAAAGAATCATTGTTGTATCGCATTTGAAATCTTACACTATCAACCTCTAGTTTCGATTAACAGATTGTCCGAGTCTCAAGCTTATGTTACATCTGATTATTGTCGGTTGCTTTTTTCTTCAATTTAAGTACATACTACTCGTTCATCGAGTCGTCGGCTCACCTTTTTTCTAACACTCTCCCAGCACATAAGGTATTTTTTGGACTAAACTAAAACCTTACAAAGGCTGAGCGTTACACTGCAGCTCGCTACTAAACTACTACTACTACTACTACTACTAAGAATGAAAAAAATGTTTCCTGTTCTCTCTATAGTGATCATACATTTTGAGAATGTAGATAAATATCATATGGTTATGATAAGAGTTAACAACATGGAAAACTTACTGTCGTTTATGTAAGAAAAAACTAGCAATCTGTAATGCAATTACTCCAACAATTAAAATGATTACACCTAGCCATAATAAAACACATGTTAACTTTTTATTCATTAACCACTGAAAATCTTGTAATTTCATCTCATCTGAATGTGTGCCAATCGATTCTCTTGGTACATTTGACAGTCTATAAGTATTATTAGACGATGGTAATATATCACCATTGAACTTTTCAACTAAGTCCTTTGTGCCAAGATGAAATTTATAAAAATATGGACAATTTCCGTAATTTTTAATTGTATGTGGTGGCTGTAATTGAATTTCTGGAATATATTTTGCTAACTGTGAGCAAAATGTACGTAAACGTTCATAAGGTGTTCTCATGGACATGATTATTTCGTTTGTTTGCTAAGTAGGGAACTGATAACACAAAAGATAATTTGAATTGGCTTGTTTAAATATTGTGAATTTCACCGGAAAAATTTCTACAATTGATTGATCCACTATTTAAGCTTGTTTTATTAATCAAGCTACCATAGGTAGAAATGACAAAGAAGAAATACATCAGATGCTTAATGTATAAATGTTTAAGTGAATGAATAAATAATCTTTAAAATGAACAAAAACGAAACATGTAAATTTATGTTTCTATCCAAAACTCTTTTTCTTAATTCCTTAATTTAGCACACGATATATGTGCAGATTTGCAAATTAATAATATGATTGATTAACTGTTAGTTGATTCGAAATTACTTCGCAACCAATCAAATCTATTCTGCACAGTTTGAACAAGCATTATTTTTTAGAGAAAACGAACAAATCATGTTAGTAGTATATGTGTTTAAAATGTTGGAAGATCGAGCTGTAGTGAAACTATGTGATATTGTTAAGCCGACCACAATCACAATCATGAGTTTTAAATTTTAATGTGAAATGAGGAATGTCACTTCAGTTTGTATTCACCCTATAACTATCTTGGTAGAAGATATCTTCTTTTAGAGACCCATTCCTTTAAACCAGTAAGAAAACGTCTGTTGCTTCAGCATACAGTGAATGTGAGATGGTGTAAAAGCAGATTTACGCAATATGCTTACTCCTTCTGACATATGGGACGAGCCAATAAGCATGGAGAAAAATACTTTCGAGTTCATTTTGCAAGACCAAAGAATGAATGACTATCATGGGCTTCATGTAAAATGACTCAGTAGATAACGAGTTGGGTGTTTAAAGAGAAAGATACCAGTTTTGAACTTCAGTGCAAATAATAGGACTTGGATAAAGTCACATCCAACTGACGAGTCGTGTTCAGAACGAAACGCGTATCTTGGATTCCACTGAAGGCCACTATCCATTATTACTAAAAACTTACTACTAATTGGCAACATTGAGACGGTTCACTTAGTACATATAACAGCTGATATTGATCAAATTCAGTCCTTAATATCACCAACAATAAAATACCAACAGTTATAACTATCCTTATACCTCTAACAGCACTCAAGATCAGTAAATTCATGATCAATCTCCCTCTTCAATACCTGTTATTTATCCTACGTTGACTTTCAACTCTAGAATTCCTCTTTTGACTTCTTCTTCAAATATCACCATGGCCAACGATTCCAGTGCGCGAAATATTGTCCCAAGTCTACTGAAACCTCTCTCCAGACTACACGTTGGTGCCTTCAACATACGTACCCTATGTCAAATCGGCCAGCGATTCTCCTTGGCTAAGACCCTACAATTTCATACCATTGATGTATGCTGTGTCTCCGAAACAGGCATACAGGATCCTAGTGTGGTCTTTCACTTAACCTCATCTCGCCAAAATGGGGAGCCGACGAGATACACCCTTCGTTCATCTGGCGATCAGATAGCTAGTTCGAATGGACTGACAGGTGTAGGCATAGCACTAAATACGAGGGAAGAACAAGTGCTGATTGACTGGAGGTAATCAAGAGTTTCACCAGGTCGTTTTAGAAATCGCATAGTCATCCGTTCAGTCAAACTTCAGATTCTTGACTTTTTCTTCACATGCTGAGATCATCTGGCAAACTAATTAAGGATATCTGAGTAATAGTAACTCATCCATGGGCCTGCATTGGGTGGGGTTTTATGGTCATCACGATTATGCTTGAACGCTGGATTGAATGTATGTCATTTAAGTCAGCTCGTGATGCATGCAATAAAACTAATTTATAACAGGTCGTTAATTATCGACAGATACCTTAGTTATTCCACATTATCTATCTATCTATCTATCTATCTATCTATCTATCTATCTATCTATCTATCTATCTATCTATCTATCTATCTATCTATCTATCTATCTATCTATCTATCTATCTATCTATCTATCTATCTATCTATCTATCTATCTATCTATCTATCTATCTATCTATCTATCTATCTATCTATCTATCTATCTATCTATCTATCTATCTATCTATCCACACATCTATCTATCTATCCACACATCTATCTATCTATCCACACATCTATCTATCTATCTATCTATCTATCTATCTATCTATCTATCTATCTATCTATCCACACATCTATCTATCTATCTATCTATCTATCTATCTATCTATCTATCTATCTATCTATCTATCCACACATCTATCTATCTATCTATCTATCTATCTATCCACACATCTATCTATCTATCTATCTATCTATCTATCTATCTATCTATCTATCTATCTATCTATCTATCTATCTATCTATCTATCTATCTATCTATCTATCTATCTATCCACACATCTATCTATCTATCTATCTATCTATCTATCCACACATCTATCTATCTATCCACACATCTATCTATCTATCTATCTATCTATCTATCTATCTATCTATCTATCTATCTATCTATCTATCTATCTATCTATCTATCTATCTATCTATCTATCTATCTATCTATCTATCTATCTATCTATCTATCTATCTATCTATCTATCTATCTATCCACACATCTATCTATCTATCCACACATCTATCTATCTATCCACACATCTATCTATCTATCTATCTATCTATCTATCTATCTATCTATCTATCTATCTATCCACACATCTATCTATCTATCTATCTATCTATCTATCTATCTATCTATCTATCTATCTATCTATCTATCTATCTATCTATCTATCTATCCACACATCTATCTATCTATCTATCTATCTATCTATCTATCTATCTATCTATCTATCTATCTATCTATCTATCTATCTATCTATCTATCTATCTATCTATCTATCTATCTATCTATCTATCCACACATCTATCTATCTATCTATCCACACATCTATCTATCTATCTATCTATCTATCTATCTATCTATCTATCTATCTATCTATCTATCTATCTATCTATCTATCTATCTATCTATCTATCTATCTATCCACACATCTATGTATCTATCCACACATCTATCTATCTATCTATCTATCTATCTATCCACACATCTATCTATCTATCTATCTATCTATCTATCTATCTATCTATCTATCTATCCACACATCTATCTATCTATCTATCTATCTATCTATCTATCTATCCACACATCTATCTATCTATCTATCTATCTATCTATCTATCTATCTATCTATCTATCTATCTATCTATCTATCTATCTATCTATCTATCTATCTATCTATCTATCTATCTATCTATCTATCCACACATCTATCTATCTATCTATCTATCTATCTATCCACACATCTATCTATCTATCTATCTATCTATCTATCTATCTATCTATCTATCTATCCACACATCTATCTATCTATCTATCTATCTATCTATCTATCTATCTATCTATCTATCTATCTATCTATCTATCTATCTATCTATCTATCTATCTATCCACACATCTATCTATCTATCCACACATCTATCTATCTATCCACACATCTATCTATCTATCCACACATCTATCTATCTATCTATCTATCTATCTATCCACACATCTATCTATCTATCTATCTATCTATCTATCCACACATCTATCTATCTATCTATCTATCTATCTATCTATCTATCTATCTATCTATCTATCTATCTATCTATCTATCCACACATCTATCTATCTATCTATCTATCTATCTATCTATCTATCTATCTATCTATCTATCCACACATCTATCTATCTATCCACACATCTATCTATCTATCTATCTATCTATCTATCTATCTATCTATCTATCTATCTATCTATCTATCTATCTATCCACACATCTATCTATCTATCTATCTATCCACACATCTATCTATCTATCCACACATCTATCTATCTATCTATCTATCTATCTATCTATCTATCTATCTATCTATCCACACATCTATCTATCTATCTATCTATCTATCCACACATCTATCTATCTATCCACACATCTATCTATCTATCTATCTATCTATCTATCTATCTATCTATCCACACATCTATCTATCTATCTATCTATCTATCTATCTATCTATCTATCTATCTATCTATCTATCTATCTATCTATCTATCTATCCACACATCTATCTATCTATCTATCTATCTATCTATCTATCTATCCACACATCTATCTATCTATCCACACATCTATCTATCTATCCACACATCTATCTATCTATCTATCTATCTATCTATCTATCTATCTATCTATCTATCCACACATCTATCTATCTATCTATCTATCTATCTATCTATCTATCTATCTATCTATCTATCTATCTATCTATCTATCTATCTATCTATCTATCTATCTATCTATCTATCTATCCACACATCTATCTATCTATCCACACATCTATCTATCTATCTATCTATCTATCTATCTATCTATCTATCTATCTATCTATCTATCTATCTATCTATCTATCCACACATCTATCTATCTATCTATCTATCTATCTATCTATCTATCTATCTATCTATCTATCTATCTATCTATCCACACATCTATCTATCTATCCACACATCTATCTATCTATCTATCTATCTATCTATCTATCTATCTATCTATCTATCTATCTATCTATCTATCTATCTATCTATCTATCTATCTATCCACACATCTATCTATCTATCTATCTATCCACACATCTATCTATCTATCCACACATCTATCTATCTATCTATCTATCTATCTATCTATCTATCCACACATCTATCTATCTATCTATCTATCTATCCACACATCTATCTATCTATCTATCCACACATCTATCTATCTATCTATCTATCTATCTATCTATCTATCTATCTATCTATCCACACATCTATCTATCTATCCACACATCTATCTATCTATCTATCTATCTATCTATCTATCTATCCACACATCTATCTATCTATCTATCTATCTATCTATCTATCTATCTATCTATCTATCTATCTA